ACAAGTATAACACACTCTTCAGGCAGACTGGAGGAGGAGAAGGAGGAGCAAAGCTATTCTGAAAAATTAAATGAGAAACTCTTGTCTTGAAATTCTAATGTTAGCTGGCAGTATGGACTTTTCTGGGTGTGAGGCATTTATTTACTCTTTTACCTCACAATTTGTTTTTAATAGGATGTATGTGAAGTCATAGTATCCATATTCTTTTGGCACTTATCTACACATCACTTTGTTCTGAGACTTGAAAAGAATGGTCTCTTGAATATGTATTTGTCCAACTATTGTTTTATACTCAGTCCAGTTACATTTACTTTTTCCTCCAATTGTTTGTCACTTTCTGCTTAATTTTTCTAGAAACAGTTTCTGGTGACTTTTAAGATGTGTTTTCTCTTCTATTAGTATAAATGAGTAATACTTATTGGTGGAAAAGGTTTCATGAAATTACTTTCAGTAAAATTTAATTAAATATACTCCAAGTATAGTAAGTTTTTTGAGGATTGGGGCTTAAAGTGTTTTAAAATAGCAAATTACTTAAATTTTCACTGATAGTAGTGCTGAGCTTGTTTGTGCGCATATAGACCTGACAGATGTCTGTTTCTAATCTCATTAAACTTCAGTTTACCTCTAGGGATACGCTAGTATTAAGTATAGTTTGGTTATAGCTTATTCTAGAACAAAAGTATAAAATCCCTTTAGCATCATATTCGTTGGCATGTTATCTAGCACGATGGGCCTTCTTGGAAGGGTTTTCTTCAGTTAATAAGCAGTTGTAGACCACATCAGGATGTCGTTGCCTATATACCTCAAGATTCTGCTGTTAACCACTGTGCGTCTTCAACTAGTTGCCTTCTAATTGGCCCAAGGATTACCAGCTAACGTGCGTGCCTGTGTGTGTGTATATATATATATATATACACCCACACAGACACGTATATATGTTTAGTTATTTCCAGTCTGGCTAGTTCGTAAAGAAGAATGATAAATTTAAGGCGGGGGAAGGCCTCCAGCAGCGCAGAGCTAACCACTACAAATGTACAGAAACTTGAATTGCCAATGGCTGTTTGAACGTTTTAGAAAAATCTCTGCCGTAAGGTTTGGGATGATCACACAGACTTCAGAATTTTGAAGAGAAGTTTAGTCTAGCAAGGTCAGACTTAAGGGTAACAAGCTAGTCAGCAAATGCTGGCATGATCTCTCTGAATATAGAACGTATGGGGTTAGCGAGAGAATACAGTAGATGGGAAGACTGTTTTGATGAACTTTACCCTTTTGCTTCTGTACTACTCTAGAGATAGCCAAGATACCTTAGTAAACTAGAAATGAAAGAGGCAATGTAATAGCGAGGGTGTGCTAATCTTTTTTTTATATAAATTGGAAGTGATCCTGCAAGAGTCTGCAGGAAGTATTCCACTGCATGATAGTGTCTTGCAGCATTTAAGACTATTTTGGTTACTTGTTGAGATGTAAAGCTTCTTTTGATGCATCCTTTTCTGCTAATGTGTGGAACTTCATGGACTTAAATTTGGAGCTTTATGTCCCATTTTTGTTCCTTCTTGTCTGCTGGGGACATGCCTTTTCCTGTCTGCTCCGTTTTCTTCCTGCTTTGAACTCCTCCCGTTATTCTTGTTCATCTGCAAAGGGCTTATTACAAAGAACTTGCTGGTAAGGTCTCGCAGATGCACCTTTTCACCCTTGCTCAGGTGACTTCCATTAGGAAAGTACAGGTGTTTCCTCCTCATCTGACGGTTGGATACAGAAGTTGTGACAAGCAGTCAGAAGAGAACAGTTTTGTGTGTGCATGCATATGCTTGCACACGAGCATTTGCACACATGTACAGTCCTCTGTGTAAGGGTGTAGCAACTCATCACTTCTCCCAGTGACTCTTGTATGATGGTTTACTTAAGTGGTGGGCAAGATTGCGGTCAAGTGAGCTAGTCAGAAATTTGAGTTCTCCAACCTGAGGAGTCATTGCAAAACTAAGACTACAACTGCCAGGCAGCTTGTTAGACTGAACTGAACATAGATATAGGCTTTAATATGTACTGAGGACGTAGAAATCTGACAGCTGTGTGCATTGCTCTTCTCCAGCAGAAGGTTGCAGACTTGTGGTTTGCAGGATGGAAGACATAAACAGGTAACTGCAGGGCTGGCTTTTACTAACTAGGACCATAATTACCAATAGCGAGTAGTTGGAAAACATTGTTATTCATAGAAATTGGTGTAAAAGTTATGAAAGTTTACTCAGAATCAGTGAAATTAGAACACTTCTTTACTTGCCCGCTCTAAAGCTGTGTCTGGACAGGTGTAGTGTAGGCTTTTTACCCAGATGGAAGAATTCAGCTTGTTTCTCAAATTCTGAAGTTCCCCGTTAAGTTTTCCTTATATTTTCATTTAGGATTTTGATTTTTATCTATTTAGTGGGTTTTTTTTGAAGTCTCTCCCAATATGCAAGTCCTTGAGAAGATCTTGTAAATATTTAGAGATTTTGTGTAAAAAAGGCAGCTTTATTAGGATTGGCAAAAGAAAAGTCATAAATAATCTTGCGTGCTACTCTTTCTAGCTAAGGACGTATTCAATACAAAGGTCCAATTTGACATCAGTTTAGTAGAACTGTAGTCTCCTAATTTGCCCCCCCTTAACTGTCTTATCTGCTGCCTATTCCTGCTGTCCTTCTCTTACGGTTTATTCCTGGCTGCCACGTGTAATTTTGTCAGCTTTCTGGTCTAGGCAAGTCACCTACTGCCCAGACTCAGCCAGACCCTCCAGTGCTTGCCTCTTCCCTGCTGCTTGTCTCAGGTTCTGGCTGGTGGCTTTGTACAGTTACCTGTAAATTTGGACTGTCTTTGCATGCATGAACAAAACACGTTTTAGAAAGTGTTCATGGACAGTCTTACTGTACACCTCTGCCCCCATTTTTTTATTGTTTATCCTCTGTAGAAAAATAATAAGTAGTAGAAACAAAAGCAGTTTTCTTAAAAGCACTGACTTTTAACTTGGCTATGATTTTTGAAGGAGGAATTCCAGTCATCCTGATGAAATGTGGGTATATTTTCAGCAAGAATTTCCCATAATATTTGTGTTCTGAATTTGGATATGGATCATAGCTGCTATTAAGAAATGGATAGCTGCTTGGAAGACTTAGCTGCTTGTGTGGAACTGTTTCAGCAGTTTCTGAGCAGCCAGACAAGTTATGCGAGAGCTGCAATAGGACATAGCATTTTATTTTATGTTTCAACATACTAAGCCAATATTTCTTAGCTGCTTTGGTTTTTGGTAGTATGATAAAGGACAAAAGCATAAGTATATTATTGCTCTGTTGTTGCTTGTTAGTCAATGTTTATTGTTTCTAGAATAGCGAAAGGAGGTTAGAGGGTGTCCTCAGGTGCATTTCTTGTGGGTGTTTGTAAGCAATACAAATGTCTGTTACTTCTTCTAAGTCAACAAATAATATAGGTTATCTCTTCCTCATACATGTTGTTTCACATACGTTTTGCATCGCAAAATCTAATTGTTCAGGGTTTTCATGACCACCTGCCCTATTAACATTACATGTAGCAGCAAATACGTTGTGTATGATGAACAGTTTTCATCTGTGTGCAATACCCTGTCCATCAGAAAAGTATTAGTGAGATTTAAAAAATGAAAAGGGACTGCCTAGCATGGAAAAGTGAATTCTTTTTGGTTTGGAGTCAAGTGTTTCAATGTAGTGCACAACACAGGACATGATGATCTGAAATGCTGTAGGAAACAAAATCATTCCATTCGGGTTTTGAGTGCCAAAATAGAGCGCTCATGCATTCGGGTCAATCCACTGAGTTTTTATAATGTTATTTCCATTCTTCCTGAATGTTTTTCATCAGCACGAGGTCACAAGAGAGGTAGATAGCTGATAGCACTTACTTTTCTTGACCCGTGTAAGCTCAGGTGGCTGTAAAACAAGGGCAGTTAGGACTGAGGACAGGATGGCTGATGAAGTTGCTGTCTATGCTGCCGTGTTGCACAGATGTTAGAGCTGCTTTTTGACCGGCTCCTGAAGCTTATGGGGTGGGGTTAAAAGGAACTGCCACCAGCTTGTTTGCCATGCTGTAAACAGTGGCAAACCACGGCTCAGGAGGTGGTGATACTCAAATATTTGTGGGAGTGACATGCTTGTCAGCTGTCTTGGCATAGGTTTTCCAGGTTTGTAATACCATGTGTTAAAGGCAGCTGACACTTGTGTCTATTTAAAAAAAAAAAAAGTTAAAAAATCATCTGATAATGAACACACGGTTTTCTCCATGCTTAAAGATGTTGTTTCATTACTGTAGCTGGCTAACGCCATCCTGTGCCTTCTGGTTTCCGCATTGATGTATGCTGTGTTGGCTTATGTTACTGTAAAATTAATTGAAGCAAATACACTGATTTGACACTCTTAGCATTTTTCATGTGCTTATTTGCAGTTGTTTAAAAAAAGAAAATTACTGCAAAATACAATGTGGTCTTAAAAAGACTGAATTTCAAGTGACCTTTAGAAGAGCTGGTGCTGTTATTTCCTTGCTGTAGGGTATCATTTTATTTCAAAGGGAAATGCATCCCAGCGATGACTCTGAATACAAGTTACCTTCTTTAAGTCTTTGTCCTGAGCACAGACTCTCATTTGTAGAAGTTACAGTCCAGCCATCTGTATTGTGGATTTATTTTAATTCAGGATTGAGTAGATGTTCAGTAAATTATTTTATTCAGAACTCAAGGTTAAATTATGCAGTAAAATGAAGATATATAATTTGGATTAAGAAAAAAATTGTAAGGGATTTCTATCTTGAAAAGATACATATAGTTTGGTGAACTTTGATGTACTTTCAGCTAAGCAGTCAGTATGTAATTTGCCAAACCTTATTTCAAAATCCAGCTTGTTTTTATGACTTGGCTACTTGAGGAGAGCTGAGTCCATGATAAGAGGACGCACAGTGAGGAAAACCACGGTGTACTACAGAGTGCTGTAACAGGGGGTGTGGAGTTCATGGCGGCATTTGCTGCGACCAGCCCGTGCCTGGCTGGCCTGTGCCGCCACGAGGCGAGGCTGTGTGGGTCTAGCTGGTGCGTGGCTGTTCCTGAACTGTGGAGGAAGGTCCTTGCTTCGGCAGCCGGGCAGTGCGTGTGGGACGTCCCTGCCCTGATGGCACAGCTGGGTGGCAACAGACCCTCTCTGTGTCTCACCGAGAAGCTCCTGCAGGCCTGGAGAACACTGCTGCCCGTGCCTGAGCTATGGTGGTGGAGGGTGTCCGTGAAGCGCCTCCAGGACTGCAGTGTGACTTTTTTAAAGCAAGATAATGACAACCCCCACATCCTTCCCCTCAGTGTAAACAGCTTTTCTTGCCTGTGCCTGTGAAACAACAAAAAATCATCTTTCATTC